AGTAGGAGGAGCTCCTATCACCACAGGGTAGGTGACAATGCTGTAAGATAGGGGTGACAGGTCAACTCAGAAACCCACCTCCAATGAGTCTTCAGCTAGCTGCGGAGCCACTAGAGAGGACAGAAAGAAAGAAGTCTGGATCAGCCCAGGAAGCAGCAGCTGCAACCACAAAGGACCCCAGGATATTTCACAAACCAGGGAGGAGCCCATCTCCTGCTGATTCTGGAAGAGAGCCACGGGGTTGGCTCTCCATTGAGCAACGTCAAAGCCAGCTCTAGCACAAAACAGTGGTCCCACCGTGAGACAGAGAGGTGTTGGTTCCGAGGCTGTGGAGGGAGGAACATGGAGACCGCCATGGAGACAACAGAGGGTAGCCAGGGGCTGGGTTTGGGGAGCAGGGGGGCCCGTAAACTTGGAGTCTCATTAAAAAGGAGACAGAGGAGCAAGCTACTGTGGGGGCCCAGGCTCGGAGAAGAGTTGCTGGAGACCGTGCCAGCTTTCCTTTCTGCAGGTTAGATAAACAGAGAGACCATCTCAGGATGGAACAGATCTTCTGTTGGAATCTCTATGTCCCCCAGGCAGCGGCAATTTCACAGTGGGCTGATGATGTGATGTCACCATGGTGTAGCTTGAGTCCCCTGTCTCCGGTCAGAAGACCCCAACCTCATGTTCATGCTCTTTAGAGCCAGTGCGAGGATGCTGCCTTGCTTCACGCCTTCCCGACTGGTTCCCCAATGCTGTAGCTGAAGTCCTAACGTCACCACCTGCCTCTCCTCTCCTTCCTTCTCTCCCCGCCGCCACCATCCCCCCACCAAGGGGTCCTCAACATAGACTGGACTCCTGTCCTCTCAAGGGACAGTCAAGAGAAGGAGGAGGGGTGCAGGAAGTTTATGGGCAAGTAAAAGAGGAAAGTCATCACCCAGACTTCCCACTCCTAAGTAGATACCTGGGGAGAAAAAAATCTTATGAGTTCCAGAGAATGTTTATTATTATAGCAAAATGATTCGTAACAATAGCAAGACGCTAGAAACACCCAAACTATTCGCCAACAGAAGAATTGATCAATTTTGGCATATGCATGATGCTAGAAAACAGCGGCAATGAATAGTATATTTTATACTACACCACATTAGTGTAGATGAAAGTTACATAGTATTGCGAGTGGAAAAGCAATTCACAGAAGAATACAAGTGATACAGCTCAAAACCGGCCTGAGCAACTTATTTTGGGGGATACATACCTGATAAACCTATATGGAAAAATAAGAGGGCAAAGATAAGCGCATCTGATAAGCACAGATGTTAGGAATGTCGTTGGCTGTAGGGGGGGAAGTAGGAAGGACGTGATCTCAGAGTTGGGAATTGCCCTGTTGAACCAGTAGACAACATCTGCCAGGAAGAGTGGAGAAAACTACCCCCAAGAAGAATCAGGTCAGAAAGAGTGTGGGGAGGGGTGAGGGGTGGATTGGGAGAAGTGTTTTATGAGACACCTGTTGGGTGAGGAATGTTCCCCCCGGCAGTAGAGATGCTATGGACTTTCTCAGATGCCTTGGAATTTAGACATGCCGATTGAATGGACCAAGTCTGCTCAGTACTGTGTCTGTGACATGAAGCACATGAGGTAAAGCAGCACGTGCTGATCTGTGCGCAAGACTCAAAAGTGTTGGATTAGTTGGGTGATGTCCTTTTTCTTTGATTTTTTTCATTCCCTCGATACTCGGTTACCGATCTTATAAACCAAGTGCATGAGTCTGGAAAAAATAATTTGACTTAATTTAGCTGTGACCTTCCAGGGGCTCTGGGATTTTGTTCGGGCCATGTTTAAATGAGGATTACTCTTTTAGAACTCCAATGTTCCATGAACATTCTATGAATCACAACATGTCCGTTCATTGGCTAGGGCTGCCGTCACAGTTGCACAAGCTGGGTAGCTTCAACCGCAGAACCTTACTGTCTCACAGAATCGGAGACTATAAATCTGAGGTCAAGGTGTGGGTACAGTTGGTTCCTACTGAGGCTGTGAGGGAAGGGTCTGTTCCAGGCTTTTGTCCTTGGCTTGTAGGTGGCCATGTTTTCCCACCAGCTCCCAACTGTGCATATCTGTGTGCAAATTTGCTTTTTTTTTTTTTTTTT